CCTAGAGTGTTCTGTGGTACTTTGCACCTATGTCACTTTGGCACAATGGCTAGAGCTGTAGTGAGTGCTGTCCTCGGGTGTCCCACACTGGGGCCACCTTGGTGGGATGGCTAGGGCTGATATGGGCTGGGGGCCCAGGGCTCACTGAGGTGGTAGGCTAGCTAGGGCACCCAGACTCTGCTCCCATCCACGCTATTAAGTTGGAGGCGGAACATAAACCATAGTGCTCACCAGTCCCTCTGGGCAGGAGAAATTTCCAGCAGCTCCCCTGCCATTTGGCAGAGTTCTAGGGCTGGTTCCTCTTTATTCTAGTTGCCCTTTTAAGCCATGGGTTTTTTGGGTTTTTTTCTGTGCCTGAGGGCAGTTGTATCTGCTCAAAATCACTCTGTACTATCCCTCCCCCACTGCAATTCACAGGCAGGGATGGGGTTTCCCTTCATTATTGTGTCTCTGTTCTCTATGTGGTCTTTCTATCTTTTGTTGTGCAGAGACTGTTCCAGTCAGCCCTCAGTTCTTCTTCAGAGGAATTGCTGTATAAATCAGTATAGATTTGGTGTGTCCGTGGAAGAAGTGAGTTCAGGATCTTCCTACATTGCCATCTTGGACGAGAACTCCCCAGATGGGTCTTGTTTTTTTAATCCATTCTGTCACCGTATGTCTTTTAATTGGAGCATTTAGACCATTTACATTTAAAGTAATTATTGCTACATATGTACTTATTGTCATTTTGTTAATTGTTTTCTGGTTGTCTTTTTTGTGTGTGTGTCTTTCTGTTTTCGCTCTTCTCCTCTTGCTCTCTTTCCTTGTGATTGATGACTTTAGCATTATGCTTAGATTCTTTTTATTTTTTGTGTATCTATTATAGATTTTGGTTTGTGATTACCGTGAAGCTCATATAGAAGTCCTAAGTATGGCAGTCTATTTTAAGTCAGTGGTCACTTAAGTTCAAACACATTCTAAAAGCACTACATTTTTCTTCTCGCCTCCATGTTTTATGTATACAGTATCGTATGTTACATCTTTTTATTTTGTGGATCCCTTAACTAACACATAATTGACTTTATTTCTTTTGTTTGTTGACCTTCATACTAGCTTTATAAGTGATTGACCTACGACCTTTACTATAGGTGCTTTTTATCTGTGAAATTTCTTCCTTTCATCATTTTTTTCTAGCCATGGTCTTTTTTTTTTTTTCACTTAAAGAAGTCCCTTTAGGGATGCCTGGGTGGCTCAGTCAGTTAAGCATCTGACTCTTGATCTCAGCTCAAGTCTTAATCTCAGGGTCATGAGTTCAAGACCTGCACTGGGCTCCACACTGGATGGGGAGCCTATTAAAAAAAAAAAATCCCCTTAACATTTCAGGTATGGCCAATTTAGTGGTGATGAACTCCTTTTAATTTTTGTCTGTCTGGAAAACTCTTTATCTCTCCTTCAATTCTGAATGATAACCTTGCTGGGTAGAGTATTTTAGGTTGTTGGGGTTTTTTTCCTTTCAGCAAAAACTTTAGAGGCCAGAAAGGAGCAGCATAATATGTTTAAAGTTTTTGCTGAAAAATCAGCTTATATCCTTACAGGGCTTCCCTGTTTGTAACTAGTTGCTTTTTTCTTACTGCTTTTAAGATTCTCTCTTTACCTTTGTTCTTTGACATTTTGATTCTTATGTGTCTTGATATGGACCTCCTTGGGTTCTTGTTTGAGGCTATCTGTGCTTCCTGGACCTGGATGTCTGTTTTCTTCCCCAAATTAGGGAATTTTTAGCTTTTATTCCTTCAAATAAGTTTTTGCCACCCCCGCCTTCCTAGGATCCCTATAGTGTGAATGTTAGTGTACTTGATGTTGTTCTAGAAGTCCCTTTAATCTATGCTCATTGTTTAAATTTAAATTTTGTTTTCTTTTTGCTGTTCAGCTTGGGTGTTTTCTATTACCCAGTCTTCCAGATTGCTGGTTCATTCTTCTGCATCCTCTAATCTACTGCTGATTCCTTGTGTATTTTTTTTCATTTCAGTTATTGTGTTCTTCAACTCTGATGGTCATTTTTAATATTTCCATCTCTTTTTTGAAGTTCTCAGTTCTTCCACTCTTGTCTCCAGTGTGGTGAGCATCTTTATAACCATGATTTTGAACTCTTTTATCAGGTACATTGTTTACCTCTATTTTTTTAAAAAAGATTTTATTTCTTTGAGAGAGTGAGCACGAGCAGGGGTGGGAGGGGCAGAGGGAGAGGGAGAAGCAGACTTGCCATTGAGCAGGGAGACCGATGCATGGTTCAATCCCGGGACCCCAAGATCATAACCTGAGCTGAAGGCAGGTACTTAACTGACTGAGCCACCCAGGCACCCCTGCTTACCTCTCTTTCATTTAGTTCATTTTCTGGAGTTTTGTCTTATTTTGTTTGGAGCATATTCCTCTGTCTCCTCACTTTGTTTGACTTTCTGTGTTTGTTTCTATGAATTAGGTAAAATAACTACCTCTCCTTGTCTTGAAGGAGTTGGTCTTATGTAGGAACGTCACCTGTTTAGACTACATGTGCCAGTTGGCTTTGCCTGGCTGGCTGGAGCTGTAGCAGACATGAGCTGGGGGTCCTGGAGCACTCCACGCTGGGGCCATTGTGGTGATATGGCTGAAGCTGAAGCAGGTGCAGGCCAGGTCCCAAGGTGTTCTATACAGGGGGCACCCTGATGGGATGGCTGGAGCTGAAGCAGGCACTGATGGGAGGTGTCCCAGAGTGTACCATGCTGGGGCTGCATTGGTGGGATGGCTGGAGCTTGGGCAGATACAAGTGGGGGGCCCCTTGTGGGAGCAGCTGAAGCTGGTGTGGGCTAGGGGCCTGGGCCTCACTGAAGCAACAGACCAGCTAGAATGTCCAGACCCTGCTCCTGTCTGTGCTATGGATGTAGAGGGGGGGCTATAAACAAGGGCACTTGCAAGCATCTCTGACCCAGAGAGAGTTCCAGTAGGTCCCCCACTCGGTGGACACCCTAGAGTTAGTGAATGAGTTTCCTTTTACTTATCTAGTCTCATCTCCCTTTAAGCTGCCACTTTTTTCCTGTGTCCCAGGGCAGGCAAATTTGCATGCAGGTAACTCAGGGCTATCCCTCCCCGCTGTAGTTTTCAGCATCAGGGCTGGAGTTCCCATTGTTACTGTTCTCCGTCTCTCCCACTGCCATTCTCTGAGGTCCCTCTATCCTCTGTTGTGCAGAAGCTGTTCAATCAGGTCTCAGTTTTTCTTTAGGAGGAATTGCTCTATATGTAGGTATAGATTCAGTGTGTCCATGGGAGGAGGTGAGTTCAGGGTCTTCCTATGTCACCCTCTTGGACACTCCCCAAATCTTAGATTTCCTATCAATGGTTTCCAAATTTAAAAACAAAACACTGACATCCACTTAGTGCCTAGTATATAGAAAGCTCTGCAGTGTCTGATTTCATCCTCACAGAACTGAGGAAATAAGAGTCATCAGTACTCTCACCTTTCCCAAGAGAAACTAAGGCACAGGGAGGCCACATCATTTGTCCAAGACCACAGTGGTTCAGTGGTGGGCCCAGGATTCCAGTCCAGCTCTCTGGGCCCATGGATGCCCTCTTTCTGACAATGGAAACCCAGAAGATCCAACACAGCAGCTGGTGGTAGGGGTCTTTGGCGAAACCAGGCAGTGGGGGAGTGGTAAGTTCAGTCTCCCCCTTGACAGCCACTATGTTCAAGGCCGTCCACAGAACATTCTGGGCTCTACAGAGCTCACCCCAGGTCCTCTACTGGACATTCCACCAGCTCTAAGTTCTGATGGAGATGTGTGAATAAGGGCCAATGCTAATTCCTCCAGCACACAGAGCTGAGCCCTGGAGACAGACCAAAAGGGAATGCCCAGGGACACCAAAAGTGTTTGGGAGTGTCTCAACCAAGGCTCTGTTTTCAATGATCTCATTTAGTTAAGTGCAGTATGACTACCCCACATTGCATCAGAAAATAAAACTGGTTGCACAGTTCCCCACCCTACTGATCAGATAAGCACAAGAAAGCAACGAGAAGACCAAGGCAAATGCCAAGTATTGGCCAGAACACGTGAGAGGCACAGAGGTGGCTTCCAGGCCTACCCCACTAAGCTCTCAGTCAGCTTCCCCCCCACACTCAGCTTGGTCTTGCATTTTGCACAGGCCTTTGGATGGCCAGCTCATGTTTCTTCCATCTGCTTCATCAGCCAGGAAACAGGAGCTCCCGATTAAGCCAAGGTGCTGGCCTTGAAATAAGGATAGCCAGTGACTCACAGCTGGAGCTGATACCAGACAGACCCGGTTTTGTCACTCGAGCCAGGCTGCTTTCTGAAGCTGTCTTTACCTCCGCTGCTGCAGCAGCTTCTACCGCTGGGGCAGCAGGGTGGTTTGGCAACTTACAGCTTAGGAGGTCCTGCTGTTCAGGAAGTATGTTTAGCCTGGAAAAGAAGGCCCCAAATGGGGAGGTGGAAATTCTGAAATTCTGGGCAGAGGGAATCGACTACTCTGTGGCTCACAGAACATAACCAGAGCTAGGGTTGAGGCCATAGATGGGAGAGTGAGTGGAAATAGAGCAGGCTTCCCCACAGAGTGGTGAGCTCTCCATTGCTGGAAGGGTTCAAGCTGAGGCTGAGTGAGATGAAGCAGCAATGCATGGTATCCCTGTATTAGGAAGAGGGTGGATTATATAAGCACAACTGGAGGTGTGGTAAAGAACCTGGACCTGGGGCTCTCTGTTTTCCTGGAAGCAAATTTGGCATCTACCCTTCATATAGGCATCTACCCTTCCCAGGCCTCAGTCCCTCCTTTTTCTGCAGGAAAGGTAAAGGGAAATTGGGCAGATAGGAGCAATCCTACCAGACTGCCTGCTTCCAGCTCTGAAACTCAAATCCCTGAAGCTCCCCCAACAATGCAGTTCCAGAATTTCTATCATCAGTAACTACAGTAATTAGAGATGGAGTCACTGCAGTTTCCCCTACCAGTTTTATTGAGATACAACTGACATACGACACTGTATTACTTTTAGGTGTACAACATAAGGATCTGATATATGCATATATCATGGAATGATTACCATAGTAAGTTTCATTAACATCCATCATCATAGTTGCAAATATTTTTTTCTTGCGATAAGAACTTCTAAGATGTGCTCTCTTAGCAACTTTGAAATAGACAATACAATATTAACTATAGTCACTGTGCTGTACATTGCATCCCAGGACTTACTTATCTAACAGCTAGAAGTATTTTCCTTTCGACCTCCTTGCTTTGTCTCCAACACGTTCAGGTGGGCCTGCCTCTCAGCTTCGCCTGTGTCAGTGTTCTGGTCCAGGCCCACCACCCATGCCTGCAGTAGTGTCCTGACTACAGCTTCCTCCACAATCCATTCTCCACTTGGCATGCAGAGGGCTCTTGGTAGAACACAGGGAGTCAGGTCCCTGTAAAGCACCCCCTTTGCACTATGAATGCACCCTGACTCCTTTCCACGGTCCCCATCACATACCATCTACCCACTAGTCCACAAAGCTCCAGCCACATGGGTGTCTGTCTATGCATCCACTCCTCAGGTTGACTGGGGCTTCCCACCTCAGAGCCTCTCCAGTGGTTTCCTCCACCCAAGAGGTGCATTCCACCCCTCCTCATATTTCACTTGGCTTCAATATCATCCCTCAAGTCAGCCTATGTGAACACACTTTGAAAACCAGGTCTTCCCTTTACTCCGACCCTGTTTTTCTCCATTGCTGCCCCTAGGACCACCTCCACAGGGCAGGAGCCAAGGTCAAGCCAAGAAATCTTTCACTTTAGACCTCAGCCACACATTCCCTCACCCTCCTTTCTAAATTTAGGCCCCTCTCATGGGCTGTCTCCATCATCCCCATGGGTTAGACATGGCCCTGTTCCACTCTCCTCACACAGCTGAGGCTCAGAAAAGCTAAGCTGTGATCCAAGCCTACCATGCTGACTGGGTGGCCAGGTGGGGAGACTTTCATTCTTTTGCTGGTGAAAGGGAAGCCAGTGCTGATGATGGATGAACTCTACTTGACCTCCTGGAGTTTCTTCTTTGTCCAGATAACCAGGTTCTGGCAGTAGGTCTGTGGCCACATTCTCTACGTAAAGATAGAACCCCGACAACATAGTCAGTGGGTCCAGGCACAGACTTCAGAGCCAGATGGCTACTCACCAGTTATAGCTGTACTTTCAAGCCTAAACAAGTGTCTTACCTTCTCTGTGCCTGTTTCCGCATGCCTCCTAGACCTGGTATGAGGGTCCAGTGTACTGGCTGTTTTATTTTTAATTATTTAAATTCAATTTAGTTAACATACTCTATTACTTTCAGGGGTAGAATTTAGTGGTTCATCAGTTGCATACAACACCCAGTGCTCATTATATCCAGTGCTCTCCTTAATGCCCATCACCCAGTTACCCCCTCCCCCCACCTCCCCTCCAGCAACCCTCAGTTTGTTTCCTAGAGTTCGGCATTGCTTATGGTTTACCTCCCTCTATTTTTTTTTTAGAGATTTTATTTATTTATTTGACAGAGACACAGCAAGAGAGGGAATACAAGCAGAGGGAGGGGGAGAGGGAGAAGCAGGCTTCCCGCGGAGCTGGGATCATGACTGTGAGCCGAAGGCAGACACTTAACGGCTGAGCCACCCAGGCGCCCCTCTCCCTCTCTATTTTCATCTTATTTTATTTTTCCTTCCCTTCCCCTATGTTCATCTGTTCTGTTTCTTAAATTCTACATATGAGTGAAATCATATGACATTTGTCTTTCTCTGACTGACTTATTTCGCTTAGCATAATACCCTCCAGTTCCATCCACGGTGATGTAAATGTAAGATTTCATCCTTTTTGATGGCTGAGTAATATTCCATTGTATATATGAACCACATCTTCTTTATCCATTCATCTGTCGATGGACATCTGGGCTCTTTCCATAGTTTGGCTATTGTGGACATTGCTGTTATAAACATTGGGGTGCAGGTGCCCCTTTGGATCACTATGTTTTTATCTTTGGGGTAAATACCCAGTAGTGCAATTGCTGGGTAATAGGGTAGTTCTTCCAGAGTGGCTGTACCAGTTTGCATTCCCACCAACAGTGTAAGACGGTTCCCCTTTCTCCGCATCCTCGCCAAAATCTGTTGTTTCCTGACTTGTTAATTTTAGCCCTTCTGACTGATGTGAGATGTATATCATAGTGGTTTTGATTTGTATTTCCTTGATGCCGAGTAAAGTTGAGCATTTTTTCGTGTGTCTGTTGGCCATTTGTATGTCTTCTTTGGAGAAATGTCTGTTCATACCTTCTGCCTATTTCTTGACTGGATTTTTTTTTTGGGGGGGGTGTTGAGTTTGACAAGCTCTTTATAGATTTTGGATATTAGCCCTTTATCTGATATGTCATTTGCAAATATCTTTTCCCATTCCATAGGCTGTCTTTTGGTTTTGTTGACTGTTTCCTTTGCTGTGAAAAAGCTTTTTTTATCTTGATGAAGTCCCAATAGTTCATTTTTGCTTTTGTTTCTCTTGCCTTTGGAGATGTGTCTAGCAAGAAAGCGCTGGCTGTCTTAAATGCCTGTTGGCAATTGTGTGAGAGAGAGAGAGCATGTGCATACCTTGCTCAGCATCTTGTCATAGCTCTAGGAGCAGTGTCACCAGCCACTTCACCTTGGCCTGGCCTTCCCTAGTAGGTATCCCTAAAGCCCATCTCCTGGGGAGCAATGACTATAGGTCAAGAATGAGTTCATCTCCTTCTCTCCCACAGCACCTAGGACCCAGCCTGTCTTTCATGGCAGATGCTCCTTTCTTGGTGATCAGTTTGAAGCCTTCCATCCAAGAAAGAGAACTCCCTCCCCAGTTTAGTGTGAGCTTTATTGACACCTGCTTCTCGTGGCAAAGTATCCAATTGTCAAGAAAGCTATTTGAGATGTTAATTTTATAGCTTCTGGCATCTCGAAGGTCAACTAGGATGAGCAATGCAAGTTGGGGCTTTGGTTTTGGACCCAAACCCCTATAGGGTCTTGTTTAGTGGTGAGGGGAATGGAGATCTGGAAAGGAGCAATAATGGCTGATGTGTTTTGAGGCTCACTATGGGGCAGACCCTGCACCATGCACTCCACACATGGCTTCTCATTTAACCCACACTGCAAGTCCATCAGGCAGGGGCTGTCATCTTATTTTACAGGTGAGAGAGACAAGGCTCAGAAAGGTTAAGCAACCAACCCTTGGCCACACAGCAAGTGGCAGAGCCAGGATTCAAGCCCAGTTTGGCTGACCCCAGAGCCTGGGACTTTCAAACCCTATGATTGTTGAGAACCTGCGTTCTGCTGGGTTCCGCTGCAACACATTAAATCACAGGTGACTGGTCGTTCCTGCTCACGGGAGAGCACTTCAGTGCTGCTTTGGCAGTTCCTGAGTTGCTCTCTTAGAGGTCCTCACAGTACCGTGTGTTCTCATTCTGTAGATTAGGATGTTCTGGTGGAGGGTGGGCATCCTACTAAATGTCTAGTAGAGCATCCTACTAAATGTCAAATTAGCCATGGATTAGGGATCCAGACTCACTGCTGTTCAGAGCGCATTTGTTGGTCAGTTTGCCAGGCCACATGAGTTCCCAATTCCCAACTCTGAGGTGGTGGTGGTTGGGATGGTTAATTTTATGTGTCAATTTGTAGGGTGGTTTTGGATGAAATTAACACTTAGATCAATAAACTTTCAGTGAACAGATTGCCCTCCATAATGCAAGTGGGCCTCGTCCAATCAGTTGATGGCCTGAATAGCACAAAAAGACCAGTCTCCCCAAGCACACGGGAATTCTACAGCAAGGTGCCTTCAGATCTCGTCTGCACCATCAGCTCCCCTGGGTCTCCACCTGAAGGCCTTTGGAATAGGGCTATAGCATCAGCCTTCCTGGCTCTCCAAGCTGCCAACCTACCCTGTGGATTTTGGACTTGCCAGCCTCCATCATGTGGTGAGCCAATTCTTGATAAGAAATCTCCATCCATATATATATATATAGATAATGTGCTCTTGGTTTGGTGTCACTGGAGAATGCTAGCCAGTGGTCAAGTACCTCCCCAGGAATCACAAAATTTCTCCCATGAGAAGCTGGAGCTCTCAGCTGAAGAGGAAGGTCTATACCTCATTCAGTCCTTTCAACCACCAAATGAGGCAGACCCCTATTTGACAGATGGGGAGACTGAGGCCTAGGAAGGGTCGCAGAATGTGCAGTTGCAGCAGAATTAAAACCCCACCCTTTCTGGCTCTAAAGCCCATGCCCTTCCCACCTTCCTGGTGACTCCCTGCCACTATACCCCACTTCACACCATTCCCCACAATCATTGGCTTCTTGGCCTAAGTTCCCCTGCCACCATCAAGGACAATATCCTCCCTGGTTTTCCACATACCAGCATGTGACATAAGACCTAACATTAATATTATGTGCTGGTCTGTGATCTAAAACTGGAAGGGCCTTGAATGGCCTAACTGCAAGCCCCCCGCCCCCCACTCTGCTCCTAAGGATAAGGTCCTGGAGCCAGACAACCCTCCTATCACAGCAGGGTGCCTGCGCATCCGTTCGGCGTGGGTTCTGTTCTCTGGTGGCTCACCGGGAAGAAGAGGATATATATATACACCAGGCTTCCCCTGCTCCTTGGTCTTGCACTTGAACCTTCTCCACAGCAGAGCACACAGCTCCAGCTCAGACCTCCATCACATGCCACCGTATGGTCGCCCTGCAATTTCATGGATCTCCTGTTGGTAGACACTTAGAGGATTTCCAGTCTTGTTTTCCATCTCAAAATACTGCAACAACTCTGTGCATATGTCTTTGTATAGTTATAAGTCACGGTGGACATTGTAGCTAATGTAGAAAAATGTCACCAAGACATTATTTTTTTTGGCTTAAAAATTTTTAAAAAGAAACATTTTAAGGTTAGCTTCTTCAAACTCATTATACCTTTGGCTACATTTAACTGAAACACCTTTTAAATCTAGCTATTTGTGTGGGAAGTTCTCACGGAGGACTCCGATTCAGTATATGATGTGGATTTACAGAACTCTTTGGAACAACAAGATATCATGTAATTATACAGAAAGTAATAAACATGAAAAATGTCTTGCAATAGATAATATACTACTTCCATAACAATGGGATTAAAAATCCTCCCATTAAAAATACATTCGTTCGTATATTTGACCGTGGAGCGAAGGGCTAGCAACATCGCCCCCCAGTGGCATATTCGAGTACTCATTCATTCGGAACCCAAATTCATGCGGCCCGGGGTTCAAATCGAGGGGGGAAGGCCACTGTGGGCGGCTAGCTTGGAGGTGGCTTCAAAAACACAGCATCTGCTCGTTTCTTCGAGCTTCAGCCTCCTCTTGAGTAGCTGAATATGTAGTTTCTTTATACAATCGGTAAGTTCAAGGAATTTTAACTGCCCTTCACCGTATGTCTTGCAGATCTCACAACCCTCCAAGTGGTAGGTCTCAGGCCCACTGCCCGCTGAATCTCTCGGACCGCTTTTAAAAATGCACATGCCTCACTGGGTCTCCCCACCTACAGAGGCTGATTCCGGGGTCTAGACTAAGCCTAGATTTGAGTCGGCTTTGTTTGTAAAGACCCACAGGTGCCCCGGAGCAGGGCCTGGAAGGGGTGGTGGTGCTGCCAGCTCCTTGTACTTGGCAGGTAGGTGGGGGCGGGGACAGAAGAGGGAACCGTGCAGGAAAGAAGGTCTGGAGGGGCTGATGACAGCACCGACTTCCTCCCAAGCATGCATTTCTCCGGGGACCTGCCAGGGGCGCTGACCCGGGGGCAGGGAGACCCCGAGTTGTTCCAAAGTCTTGGTATTACACTTGAAATGCCTTTCCCAGCTAATGAGCAATGACAGGAGGAGACATCAAGTCATTTGGGGTATTAAGGAACGAGGCCAGGGTCTCAACCCCACACAACTGCTACTAAGCACCTGTCACCACAGCTTCGAAAGGGGCAATACTTACTGCTTCACAGCATCTCTGAGCCAAAATGCAAGGAAATAAACCAGGGCTAAGGTAGGGATCCAAGGCTCTCCGTGCTGCTCTTTGTGCTGAGGAGGGCAGGCCTTCGGGCGCAGAGGCCGTGCTGAACGAGGCGCCTTCCGCGGCCCCCACCCTGACAACTCAGCTGTCACAACCTCCGGGATTTGCTTAAATGCAGGAAGTGGAAGACAAAGCTGCGTGATGTATGGCTCTGCCTCTGGTCTGGAGGAAGAGACAGAGGCACGATTGAGGAAGCTTCTGTGGCCCCTGGAAAGTGGCAGGCGCCCCCCCTGCCCCGACGACGACTGGGCAGTGGTCACCCGCGGCCGGCGCTGGGCCACCCGAGCCACGTCCCCAGACCCTGCGTGCCCCCATCGCTCAGGAGGAGCCTGAGTGCCAGGGAGCCCGAAACACCCAGCCTGTGCCTGAGCTGAGGTGATCTTGCTCCTAACGAGCTGGAAAACCTGACCCGCTTGCCGCTTCACCCTCAGAGGGGCCAGTCCTGTTGCAGACGGCAGGCCGCCCCAGCCGGCGTTCCTTTTCCCATAGTGCTCTTCTATCACGGCTCTCCCTGCGGACCGGTGGTCTCCACAGCCAGAATGTAAGCCCCGGGGGGGGGGGGGGGTTCTCTCTTGTTCCCTGATGGACGCTTGGGTACCTGGCTGTTTGATAAGTATTTCTTGAATGGACGGACGGGCGAAGAGATGGGTCCTCATGTTCCTTTCTTCATCTTCCCCTACCCCAATCTGGAGCCGTGCTCCTCTAGGACCAGCCACCAGGGCCACTCTGGCCAAGACTGCTCTGAGCCCGGCAGGGACAGGGACCCCCGGAAGCCGGTGGGGCCGCGGGGCTGGCGGAGCCATCGAGCCCGGGCCCGTCCAGCTGGGACAGCGACCCCCAGCGGCCCCGACAGCTCGTGCGGGAGTACAGGGACCTGTTCCTGCGACCCTCCAGCCCTTCGGTTTGATGTCTCGTCTCCGCCTCCTCGCTTCACCCTGTCCCCAGCCACAGTGGGCAAAGGGAAAGGTGGTAGAGCTGTAAAGAAACAGCTTTTGGTGAAGTCATTTGTCCGAGGTGTGCCCATGGCAGGTGTGAGGCCGCACGCTGAACTAGTCAGGTGACAAAGGGAACTTGCAGGCTCTCGAGACTCCAGGTGGGAAGGGCTGGGCCAGTCGTCCTCTCCCCACTTGGAAGTTTCCAGACCTACTTGCTGAAATGGACGCTGACAACTGTTTTGCTAAGAAGGGTCCTCAACGCCGTGAACATGCAGATGTGAGTAAGGGGACTGGATGGGACAGCCGCCCTGTCCCCAGTGACACCCACTTCGTGTGTCTGCTGCATTGCCCTTGCCCTGGTGGACGCCCCACCTGCGGGGGCTCCTGGCACGATGGCGTGGGCCCCAGACCCCCGCGAGGGCAGCCGTGCTCACGGTGACTTTGGGTGACGGGACCCCGCCTGACCCTCACGCTAGGCTCCTTTTGCAGAAGGCTTCCTCAGTAAAGTGCTCGGATGGAAGCAGACCGTTTTAGATCAGGACACAGAGCTAACATCGCCTGGGCTTTTACGGACGATTCGCGAATTCATATTCAGTGACAGCTGACAGACAACTAGTCCTGCCTATAAACCCACGCGTTGGGCTGTAGGTACCCCCTCCCCCCACGGTTGCTGCACCAGAGACAGAGGTGTCGAGAAGTCTGGAGTGTGGCCAGGAAAGCAGGCTCGCCCACCCAGAACACGGGACCCACGATCACACCTCTTTGCACAGGGATCGATACACCACTCCAGCCGCAGGAAACGTAAAATCTTTCTTCTTTGAAGAGCTGAGGGCATCTCCCACCCGTTATCTTCTCAGGCTGCCAATCAGTGATGATGCAGAGAATAAATAAGAGGAAGCTTTCGGTGGAAATGATTTAACCACAAGAGACCATACCCGGGGAAAGTTTTTTCTCTTGGGATTTCCCAGTCTTGGCTGCACATCTGAATTACCTGGAGCTTTAAAGAATCCTGACCATGCCCCAGTTCTGTTAGGCCATGCCCTGTGGAGGGAGTACCCAGGCGTCAATACTCTAGTCAGTTCTTTGGGTGATTTCAGCACGCAGTGAAGGCTGAGAATCACTGGGCAGAACAGATACCGTCTGACATTTTAAATATCTTCATGTTGAATGTGTCCCACACCCTTGTCATCACAGCTAAGAATCTGTTCAACTTCTAGTTCTCTACACCGTACATTACCCCTCGTGAGCCACTTTCCCACCTAAAAGAGAAGCAAGCTCTTTTTCTGGTTAACTAAGGTTATGGATTAAGCAACCCGTTGATCCTTTTTCCAGTTCTTTGTTGCTGGAGGGACAACATTGTCAAAGGGGACACATTGATCCACTCCTCGGCCACTTCCTGTCAGACTTGACCAGGGCTCCTAAATGCTGTGAGCTCTCCCAGACTGGAACAAAATCTGGGGTTGGGGGAGCCTCACTTGCACGACTCATGGTGGTCATTATGCCCAAATGACGGGCATCGAGCGTTATGAAATGCGCCGGTAGCAGCTCCTGTCGGTGAGAAGCCAGAACGACCTCGGGCCCATGACCCCGTCCTGGCCCTGCCTGCACCCCACCTCACAGCCCTGCTTTACTCCGGGCAGAAAGGAGCGCACGTCCCCATCCCCGGGCTGGGGAAAGCAAAGGCAGAGGCATAAATTGCTAAGGTAAGTTCTTTTACTCTGAAAAATCAATCTGAAAAGTTAACCTATTTGGATATCAAGCTGTAGCTAAAGTGAAATCGCACCTCTCTCCCTAAGAAAAAAGTCAAGGAAATAAATATGCCCGAACAACAACCAGGCTCCTTCTGATGGTAATGGGGTCCCATCTCTGACCCAGTTTTCCTATTTTATTCTCACTTCCTAACTTTCCAGAACAAAGAACAAGCGTTATTACCTTTAAAATCAGAAAGCAAAGTAGCAAACTCCTAAAAATCGACTATGCAGAAGGTCAGTTCAACAGAATAAACCTCAAATAACTTTCTCCTCTTTCTCATTCCTGCTTTAGAAGGAGTCCGCTTGCATCATGTCTCTACTTTGCAGCAAGTATTTTTAAAGGAGGATTCACGGTTTCTAGATAACGCTGAACTCCAGTTTCAGAAACTCATCAAAAAGAGGATTTAGTCTATTAAAATGTTCACATCTCCGAGGTAAAAATGTATCTTGAACACAAGAGCAAACATAGTTCTGCAGAAAAACTGGTCCCTGTGTATCTTCTGCTACAGAAATCCATTCCCGAGTGTCCGTCAGGCTCTGCCTAATGCCACTGGTCTCCGGTGTCTCCGGCCCGGCCCCCACGGCTCTGTGCACACAGGGGGCCCCAGACCTGGCAGCCCTCAAGCACCAGACAGGTCTCATCAAGGGTCCAGACCTTGGGGACTTCCCTCATGCTCACCAAGTCGAGGCCGCTTGAGCTCTGGAGGACTGCCCTGAGGGTCTTCAGGCATCTCTGGAACGTTAACAAACACAGGTTGGCAAGTAAGTGAACACTTCTTTAAAATTAAAAGCTGGTGTTTACAAGGCCCCTGGGTGGCGCAGTTGGTTAAGCATCCGACTCTTGGTTTCAGTTCAGGTTGTGGGCCCAGGATCCTGAGATCGCGCCCCACATTCAGCGCAGGAGTCCGCTTAAGACGCTCCCTTTGCACCTCCCCACCGCGCGCTCTCTAACTAAAATCTTAAAAAAAGAAAAAAAAAAAAGGATGTTTACAAAATAAATTTTGTGCCCGGACGAGAACTGAACTGCCTAGCAAGGTCCTATATGGATATAAGAGAAAGGATCCAGTGGTTCTCAATGGGGGGGCGATCTCGCCTCTCAGGGAACAGTGGGCAATGTCTGGTGACCTCTGAGAATGTCCCAAGTGGGTGGGGGAGGGGAGAATGGGTACCAGCATCCAGGGGGGCCGCCAGCCTACAATCACAGGACAGCCCCCACAGCAAAGAATTATCCAGCCCTGCAGGTGGAGAACCCTGACCTCGAGCACCTCTGAACGCGCCATATATCATTTACTGTGAGTGGCTGCGTGGGAAGGTGGCCTCCCTGATGGGCATAAGTGGGCAGCCAGAGAGTTTGAACGATCGGTCTAGTAAGATGCATCCCCGCTTTCTCAAAATGGACTTAAGATTAGGTGGTTGGTGGGGCGCCTGGGTGGCTCAGCCGTTAAAAAGCGTCTGCCTTCAGCCCCCGTCATGATCTCAGGGTCCTGGGATCGAGCCCCGCATCGGGCTCCCTGCTCGGCGAGGAGTCTGCTTCTCCCTCCCCCACTGCCCCTGCCTGTGTTCCCTCTCTCTCTGTGTCTCTGTCAAATAAATTAAATCTTTAAAAAAAAAAAAAAAAAGAGGTGGTTAGTTTCCAAGAGAACAAAAGAGAAGATAGTCTACCTTTACTTATATTAAACCAGGACCAGCGTCACTCACCTGACTGAATTTCTTCTGTGGGCGGGGTGGAAATTATACTGGTTGGTGCAGAATTCGGTGGGGTATCTGTCTTTAAGGGTATTAAGTTTATCCTCCTTGATTAAAAAAAGTAATAAAGGGGTACATGGCTCATTAGTGTCATCAGAATCATTTGTGAGGATACCAAATTTCAAAACTACCCCAAGGAGTTGATCATACCATGCAAGACACTAAGTGTTGATGTGCCCACTTATTTAGGAACTAAGGACTATGTTCAGGTACTAAGTTCAATCATCACAGTTACAACAGTCAAGGCTTAACTAGTCATCTAAAAGTCCCAAAACCTGTTTTGTTCATCTCCAATGGTATGATGAACACCCATGGACGCCACGTACGTAAGGCAAGCAGACACAGTTTCTACTACGGAAAGCTCCAGAAACCGGGTGGCAGGCTGCAGCCACGTCTGCCCGTGTGCCCTCCCTGACAGGCGGAAACGGGCACCCCGCAGAGGTCTGGAAGCAAGGGGTGGCACTCAGGTCTGTCCCGAAATCTCTCTGGCCACACTATGAAGCCCTTACAGGCTGTCCCCTGTTCAACGATGGGGCCTTCTGGTTTACTATTTTGTTTTTCAACGCAAGGACAAGTTCTTCCACTGGAAGTTCTTACCGGGGTGTCGTCTTGCTCCAGGCCTGCAGGGTGTTCAGAGTGACCCTCCGGGACGGGGGCGCTCTCGGGTTTTGAGTGCTAGGCTGCAGGGCCTTCTCCTCGGAAGGTGCTGCTGGGGCTGGAGACGGTCTCGCCTGAGGCGGGGGTGTGCAGGGACTGCTGGGGTCTTGGATTCTGCCGGTGGGGGTTCCCTCGGCCAGCCTGGGTCCTGGCGAAGACCCTTGGTGTGGCTGACTCTTCGTTTTCTTTGCTGGGTCGGGCGTTCTCATGCTTAGAACCGGCTTCTCTTTCAAAGGTATTCCAAGTTCATCCTTCTCAAACGTCACAAATGAACAGTAGCCGTCCGTGGAAGAGATGGCCAGGAAGGCCCCATCACTGGACCTTTGTTCCCCGAACAGGAAAAAAGGTTAGAAACTGTACCAAAGTCCAAAAGGGCCCCTCTTAAGGCTCTCTGTAGTCGTTAGAAAAGGCAAGTTCACACAGGATCACAGGCTTGGTGTGAAAGGGAGAAGGGCCTGTGTCCTCCTCACTCCCACCCTTTCCTTCCCAGCCCCGGCTCGACTTTCCCAGGCACTGCGGCATGCCAGGACTGTCATCAAAATCACCCAAATAAAGGTGTGATGACCTTCCCCCCTCACCCCCAAGAAGAAAAAGAAGGAAAAAGGTTATAAAGAGCAAGAAAGAGATGGTGGGTGGGCAGGCCCGGCGGGAGCTAGGGGTGAATCAGGGACCCCGGGGGTGTGGAGGACCCCAGCAGAAGGCAGAGTGCAAAGTGCCACCACCGACAAGCGCAGTTCTGGGTGACAGGAGCTCACTGGCGTGGGCTTCCTGCCAGGGGGCTGGCAAGTTCCCAACAACCAGGGAGCCCACGGGGCCTCCCCTCAGTTTGAGAATTAGAGAAATCCACAGGGCATCGGAATGGCATCATTCAGATGTTACTGTTACCGTCGGAAGCGGTGTTATAGCAAATTAGAAATGGCTTTCTTTTTAATGTTAATTCCTTTAAAAAGATACTGGAAGGGGCGCCTGGGTGGCTCAGTTGGTTAAGTGTCTGACTCTTGGTTTCAGCTCAGGTCATGATGCCAGGGTCTTGGGATCGAGCCCCGCATGGGGCTCTGCACTCAGCAGGGAGCCTGTTGGAGACTCTTCTCCCCCACTCCCCCTGCTCCTGACTTGTGCACACACACATTCTCTCTCAAATAAATCTTATTTTTTAAAGATTTTATTTGAGAGAGGGAGAAGCAGGCTCCCCACTGAGCAGGGAGCCCGACATGGGGCTCGATCCCAAAACCCCGAGATCATGACCTGAGCCAAAGGCAGACGCTCAACTATCCGAGCCAGCCAGGTGCCCCTCAAACAAATCAATCTTAAACGAAACAAGAAGAGGGGAGGAGGGGAGAGGAGGAGGGGGGGAGGGAGGAGGAGAGAGGAGGAGGGGGGAGGGGGGAGGAGGGGAGAGGAGGAGGGGGGAGGGAGGAGGGG